TTTTATCACGAGTGAATCATGAGACGATAATATCTTATATTCTTCAAACCTAGAGATATGAGTTGTTGACTACGAGTTGGTTATACATTGATTGCACGAAAACGCATTGGTAACTCGATGTTATAAAACGTGCCTTTGTGTATGATTCAACAAGTAGTCAGTACAAGCATATGAGTCGAAGTTTATCCATTCCTTTTACCCTCAAAGGGATAAAAGCGATATATGTGGTCCCCTCGATGATTTAGTGATGACAAAATGTAAGTGCTCGGCCGGGCCTGGACTGATTTGATTTGTTCAAATTAGTCAGTCGTCATAAATCAGAAATCGGGAAACAACAAATGGACGAAGAGAATGATTATAATCCATGTCTCAGTCCATATGATATCTAGAATGGAGGAATATATGATCACTTATCTAATGGACGCGTCATTGATTTGTTCAGAGTTCGGCAGCAGCTTTTAAGAGCTACGATTGTTGGTCAGGTTATGAAGGCGTACTTGCAATAATAGTTATTAGACTTATCCAAGTGGGAGACTGTTGGATTAGTGTCTAAGTCCATAACTATAATTGGTATATACTTGACCCGACCCAGCATGGTCCATTTGGGTTGCATGGCATCATACATTTGGATAGACTAAAATGAGAGAAATAACACTTAAGGTTTATTAATATATTATAAGTTCTAATATATTAATAAGATTATTTAAATAGTATTGATCAAGAATTAATCTAGAATTAATTAAGTGATCAAAAGAAAACTAATTAAATATATGGGTTGATTGTGTAAATCATCCATACTTATATAGTGGGCTAATGCTCCATGGATTATCAAGTTGGGCTAAAACCCATAGGATGCTCCATGGTGTATTTGAACCCATGGATCCAAGGAAATGGAAAGCCATGACAATTAGGGTTTACCCTAATTGTGTCACACTATATAAACATATCATTCTTGTCAAAATCGGCCACTAAATCTATGTGTGGAGGGAAAACCGATTTCATGAAGTGTATACTTTCTCTCAAGTTATTCCAAGTGTTTATGATGTTGTATGAACCATTTGAGGTGTCACACTTGGGGCACTAGGCTCTTGAGCTCCATGGAATCAAGCACCAAACAAGAGGTATGTAATTCTACTAGATTTTATATTATGTGTACTTTATATTATGCTAGTTAGAACAATACCTTGGAAATTGATATTTGCATGTATAATAGAGAAAAACATAGATCCAAGGTATTTAGGGTTGCATGTACACCATAGGAGTGTTAGAATGCTCAAAACCCAACAGTTTTTATATTACAAGTACCCCATGCCATGCTAGATAGGATGAAAACCTTGGAAAATCAATTTTGCATAAATATTAGAGAAAACATAGATCCAAGGTTTCTAGGGTTGCATGTACACCATAGGAGTGTTAGAATGCTCAAAACCCATCATAGATGAGACAGCGGTTGTACTCTTGGAGGACATTCAGGTTGATGACGGCCTGAATTACATTGAGAAGCCAGTGGCGATTCTGGATCGCAAGAAGAGGGAGCTGAGAAATAAGAGAGTAGAGTTAGTGAGGTGCAGTGGCAGCACCAAAAGGGTTCGGAGTAGACTTGGGAGTCCGAGGAGGAGATGAGGGAGCACTACCCAGAGTTGTTTCTAGATTCAGCAGCAGCAGACTTCGAGGACGAAGTCTGATCCAAGTGGGGGTGAATTGTAACATCCGTCTCTCGAGGTATCATTTAGATTATCTAAATTAATATTAGCTTTGGGCTAACACTTGGACAATGGACCTTTAGGGGTGGACCTTAGCAAAAATGGGCCAAGAAGTTAGGCTGCCCATATTTCGTACGCTGGGCGTAACCTGGCATACGCGGGGCGTAGTGGCACATTGGATTCGAGGGACTCGGGGGCGTACGCACAGCGTACCAAGAGGTAATCCCAGCGTATGCGGGCAGATGCTAAACCCTAATTTTTAGGGTTTAAGACATATAAATACCCCATTATAGCCTCCCCTCTAGCCTCCTCACCAGTCCCTCACCTTTAGAAAACCCTAGTTCGTCTCATACTCCATTGTTGTGTATGCTTGACCTTTTTTAGTTCATTTTTGTGAAGAAAGACTTGGAAGAAGTGAAGAGAAGTTGGAGGAGAAGCACTTGAGTATCTTGAGCTCAAGGATCTGGAACAAGTTCATCTTTTGGCACCCAAAGGAAGTATAAAGCTCTTACCTTTCCTCTTAGAAGCTTAGATCTAGGGTTTTGAAAATTTGGACCTTTTTAGGTCCAAAGAATGGATCTTGTTCATGCAACTTCGTTTTTGAGCTTAGGGTTGCCACCCTTGAAGCTCAAAGTGTCCCTTAAGCAGTAAAGTTGCAAGCTTTAAAGCTTTTATGTAGCCATGCATGAGATCTAGCCTTTTCCATGGAAGTTTATTGCTATTTTTAGAGTTGGGACCATTTGGTGGGTTGCAAGCCATCAAGTGATCGACTTTATGGGTTAGGATGAAGCATTGGACTCAGATCTGTAGTTTGGACGTAGTGCCTTAAGGGATTAAGCAGTTTTGGAGAAAATGGCTTAACAGGAGACTACGCTGGGCGTACACGCCAGTATGCGCAGCGTACAAGCCATTCAAGCAGTATGCGCAGCATACAGAAGGGTGCACTCAGCGTACGCTCAGACAGTGGGCTTTATGTTAGTGGGCCTCGGTTTGGGCGAGGCCTTGGATATAGCAGTAGTTGGGCCGAGATGGGCCTTCACAAGTCAGTCAAGGGTACAAGGACTTGCTAGGGCTTGTGAGGAAAAGCCGATTTGAGAAGTTGGGCCTAATTTAGAAAACTTGGCCATTAGTGGGCCTTAGTGGGCCATGAGTGGATTTATAAGGATTAGTTGGAATTGGGTCTTGGATATGGCCCAAAGTTAGAGCAGGGGTAAAATGGTCATTTTGCCCTTAGTGGGATTCTCAGTTTTTGACTAAGTGTTTATTTGGTCATAATAGCCGGAGTGTAGTTGGAGCAGCAGATAGAGTTACCTAGCACGAGTTTTCAGCAGCCAGATTGAGAGGTGAGTTTCTCTCCAGTAGGAACGGGTATGGCCACAACGTCGGCCCGTTTAAATGTTAGTAGTTCCGGACTTCGGTCCGATGTCGGGGCAGTCCCGAGAAGAGTATATGTATGCTTGATGTCTTTGTGATTCATGCATGTTATGTGTTATGTGTTCCGGGGCAAGCCCGATGTATGCTAGCTTATCTGTTCTATGTTATGTATTCCGGGGTAAGCCCGATGCATGTTAATTTATATGTTATCAGTTATGCGTTCCGGGCTTCGGCCCGATGCTGGGGTAAGCCCGATGCAGTTTATATGTTTTGTTATTTGTTTATGATATATGTTATGTTGTGTATGTGTCAGGGTAAGCCTGATGTCGGGGCAAGCCCGATGTCGGGGTGAGCCGATGCCAGACGTAGTCTGATGCCAGGGTGATCCCGATGTCGGGCAGGAGTCCGATGTCGGGTTCGTCCCGATGCAGTTGGGAGTAGTCCCAGAGTTATGCTATGTGTATGGTATGTGGTAGTTTAGGGAGCTCACTAAGCTTCGTGCTTACAGTTTCAGTTTTGGTTTCAGGTACTTCAGCTAGCAAGGGGAAGGGCTCGGGTTGATAGCATGACACACACCACAATCTTTCTGGCCTGGGAGATTACTCTGATATTTTATCACATGTTTTTGTCACAATATTTGATATGATGTTTTGAGATACATGATACATGGTTTTTCTCTATGATTATGGATGGTTTATGGTTTTATAATAATTTTCAAAACGAAATTTTTAGACTGTATTTTTGGGTTGTTTCAAGTAGACTCAAATACGAACGTGCAAATATAAAGATCGTTAAAATCCGAGATCATATGAAGAAGTTACGACGTTCAGAACACAAGACCTAAGCTAAACCCAAAGACCTAAGCAACCAAGCAGTCGAGGCTGTAGTGGTCATAAGCATCAACAACCCCGAACACCTTATTAATTATTGTCTCACGTAGGATGTTGTGAGAAAAACCTAAAAAAACTGATTATAAGTACTAAATGTGTAGAAAAACAATAAAGACTTATTTTGCAATAAAAAAAATATTAAGGACTAAATGTGTGGAAAAAAATTAAAGACCAAATATGTACAAAGTGAGAAATATAAAACTCTGTTAAGTCATTTTTTTTCCAGCTTATCTAGAGTAGCCGGTCATAATGATTGAATGTGTACATTTTAACAAGTTGAAAGGTAAATATAGACGGAAAAAATCTTAGTGACCAAATATGTATAAATAAAAAAATATAATACCCTTTTAAGTCATTATCCATTAAAATTTTAGAAGTTCTGTGCAGAACTTATGCTACATTTACATTTTTTTTTTGCCACATCCTAAACCCATCGTCCCTTTACGCCTAGTTCCCGAGTTGTAGCAGAGAAAAGAGAGTAAAAAGAGAAAAGAAGAGAAATGAATGATAAAGAAATTTGTCTTTTGTGTTTCCAAGTTGAAGAGAAGTAGAAGAAAAATTAAATATTTTTTTCAAGAAAAAGTGATCCTAATTCCTAACATTTTCTTCCCCTTAGCTTGTTTAATAAACTTGGGAAGACAAATTTCTTTTATTTTCTTTGCAGTTCCAATAATTTCTTTTGTTTTCTCTCTAACGCCTCGTTCCCGAGTTTAACAAAAGAAAAGAAGAGAAGAGAAAAGAAAGTTACGAGAGAAAACAAGGGAAAGGAAAGGAAAACAAAATTTTCTTTTGTGTTCCCGAGTTGGAAAGAAGTGGAAGGAAAATGAATAATTTTGTTCTTTCTATCCAAATCCTCCCAAATCGGAAGGAAAGTTAGCAGGGAAAATGATCCTCCAATTTCTCTCCACTTCCTTCCACTTCTCTCCTTTAATGAAACTCGGTAACACCAATTTTTTTTTTTTCTTCTCATTTCCACCCATTTCCTTTCCTTGGGAACGGGTTGTAAAGTTGAACTCGGGTTACTTTACACAAACCAAGCTTCATCTTTCTCTACCCAATCTTATCTTTCTCAAAAATTGTGTTTGAAAATCGAATATGGCAGACTACCTCCCATCTGAACTCATCGTCAAAATCCTGTCAAGGTTACCATCAAAATCGCTTCTCCGTTGCCGATCAGTGTGCAAATCATGGAAATCTCTCATCTCTTCCCCCCAATTCATCCAGACTCATCTTAACAAGTTCAACCAACTAAATTCTCGCAATATTGTCCGTTGCTGTTTGCAGCCAGAGAACAGGGAAGCATACACTGTCCATCTCGATGACCAACATCTTACTCTCGATACTCCCATTGATTTCCCCTTCTCTCTTACGCGTGATGATTATGATTACAGAAACCCCTTTTTCACGATGATTGGGTGTTGCAACGGCGTTATCTGCCTTTACAATGCGACAACCACAAGAAATGAAATCCTACTATGGAATCCTTCAATTAGAAGGAAAGTAACCCTAACTCCTCCCGTTCAACCTTATCGCAACTACAATCGAGATCATATTTTCGTTTTCGGGTTTGGATACTGTAACATATCTGATGATTATAAGGTTGTTAGACTCGTCTGTGATGGTATTACCTTCTCAGATAGACCCAAGGTAAGTTCTGATTCAACATATAATCAATAGTTATATCTTCAACCCATGATTACTACTTCTTTTATTTCGCCATTTCAGGTTGAGATTTACACTGTGAAAACTGCAACTTGGAAGACAATCATGTTTCCTCAAGATTCACGTTTCTGCCGTATCCTCGGTGATCGTTCACATGTGTTTTTGAATGGATCTGTTCATTGGTTAGCAGGTGATCGGGACATTTCACTTTCCTCAATCCTTACACTTGACATAAGTACAGAGCTTTTTGGGGAGATTCAGTTGCCTGATTTTCATGTGAAATGTCCTTCAATGCCTGTGACGATAACTGTTGTTGGAGATTCTTTGGGTTTGATTTATCCATTCCGACCTCTCTTTGTGTGTTCAAGCACTTACAAGATAATGGTTATGAAGGAGTACAAGATACCCACGTCATGGACATTGATATATGAAGTGCACTTTCCGGATATAGATTTGGGGAGACCTTTGAAATTGAGACATAATGGGGATTTGATAACTGCATCGAGTTCGTGCAATCTAACAATTTATAACCAGGAGGCAGGGTGCTATTCAGTGGATGGTTGTTGTAGAAAAGGTGTTAATTTATACTCAATTTCTATTGATAGATATCAAGAAAGCCTAGCATTGTTGGATGTCGGGAGTTACACTCATAACCAAGAGTAATTTGCAAACATAACATATATATTAATATTACCAACTACTTTGTGATTTGTGGTTATTTTTGTTCCAATGATTGTAGACTTTCATTAGCAGATTACATATATCGGTGCTTAGGAAAGTGGTATTTCCTTGTAGCTTTTTTGTTAGTTTAAGAATATTAAGTTAATTGACTAGTGTTTGAATGTGGCTTGGCTTGTTACACATTGTTATCTATTATATTTGTATGTATAGCACAAACAAATGGGCCGTTTTCGTTGTTGATGGTTGATTTAATGATACATGTTTTGATGAATACAATTGTTGTAAGTTGTAAAGAGATAACCAGCAAGGGAGATATAACCATCATTAGAGCTTCGCAAATGATTGGTGTATCTTTTGATCAAGGGTAATGAACATTGTCTCATTAGCAATGTATCTTCCTTGATTTCTTTATTATAGTATCCTAGTTGTATTTCATTCTATCATAACATCATACTTTGAAAAATCAATGAATAGGCAATGTCATGAAAATACTATGCACATTGCTATAGTTGAGTTGGTTTTTCAAAGTACAATGTCTTTACAAGAATCAAACTGAAAGTACACTACTCTAATAGAAATAAATGGATGTAGGATGATATAATAAACAAATAAACAATAATATGTTAAATGTCTTGCATTAACCATTTCTTTTAATTCATAGAATTTTGAATTTTCACATCGAGGTGGAAGACAAACAAGCAACAAGCTGTGCCACTAATCCTTTTTGGATGACAAAACTAATTCTTTTTGTAATTATATCTGACATGGAACGAAAACAAAAAAAAATGAGAGAAACTCAAAGTATTTTATTACTAAAAATTCAAGATGCCTCTAAAGGATTACAATGGACCATTTATAAAGGGCGGTGCTAAATTTGGTAGGTACGACTAAAGTTGGAAAACTAAAATCAACAATAAATTTTAGTAAATAACCTTCTAAATAAGAGAGGGAATTTCAGAAAACAACGAAAATGGATATTTTGTCAATAAAACGGAATAAAAAAAACGGAAATTATTCAAAGTTTTGGGAAAACTGGGATTTGAGGACCTAAACAGTGGAATTTGATATCGACCTGTTAGGAGCTCCGACCCGTCGATACCTTTCTGCCAATATATCGCACGCCTTCAAATTCCTTACGGATCAAAAGTTATGTATGTTTTAAGTTGGACCTCTTTTGGCCCCGTTTGTCTTTTTCCCACTTGTCCATAAAAGCTTCTACCAAATTGAAAACCATTCTATATCGGTTTTTTGGTGGGAGTCCAACTTTCATACAAGTACATGGATCAATTCTATAACTTAGTCCAAAAAGATATTAATTTTTTTTTCGGGATCGGTTCCGTTCGATTTATTATGTTTTTTTCCATAAAAAACGAACCAACCCACAAAAATTTACTCGTTTATTTTATTTATTTTTATTTTGTATTTTAACTTCTTTGAATAGGGTGAATTTTTGCGAACGACTTTTTTTGTTTGACTAGGGTGAGTTTATGTGAAGAGTTTTTCAACCTAAAAAAACTAAAATGGGATGGTTTTTAAACATAAAAATATTAAAACTCAATCATAGAGGGTGAGTTTGAATGGTATTTCAACCAAAAAAATGAAATTGTGGGATGGGCCGAAAATGACCTTTTCTTTTTATGGTTCCATTGTTTTAGCAGTGAAGTGCTTGTGGATGGTGGTGGTGGCTAATGGTGGTGAAAGGGGCAGAGAGAATGGATCCGATTTGATGGAGATATTGAAAGGGGCATCAAACAAAGACAACGTGTTCCTGTGTGTAGCTGGTGATGAGAGGGAAGATGCTCTTTTTATTAATTTTAGGGCTTTTACAAAAATGGTTCCTGCAGTTTAGTATTTAAAAAGCAAAAAGGGCATTTGAAAAAGATGAAAATGTCCTTCTTTTTCTAGATAACGCTGGTTTCAAACTTCTGTTATCAAGAGGGGCTAAAACCAATAAAATATTTAATTTTGGACTATTGGTACTGTTCACCTACATATTTTTCATTTTGGGTTTAAAAGGTCCTTATTCTATTTTTTGAGTGTTATGGATCCTTACACTTTCAAATAGTGAGTTAAAAGAGGGAATATGACCCTTTGTATCCGGTTGTAACCGGTTACGAGAGTTTCCATCGCCCACGTAAGATCCACGTATGCTCCAGGTTGGCATGTGGACAAACATTAAGAACGAGGGTTTCCATCGGCCACTTCACACAAATTCGTTCCCCTAATTTATCGCAAGAAACATAAAACCTAGATCCTTCGATGATGGCTGATCCAATCGATGTCAACGCCAGAGTAGTCACGCTTTGGAGTAACCTAGTTGAACCCATCCCCAATTGTGGTTGTCGTTAACCTGCGAATAAGAGAATGTTGTGGACGTTGCCCAATCCAGCTTGGAGGTTCTTCAACTGTCCATTTTCGATGGTAAGAAATCTACTTACAGCAGCAAGTAATTCCCTTTTACAAATTCCTTTGAGGAAGCATCCATCTAAACATATTACTCTTCTGTAACCATCCATCCAACCTTTTTTCAGTCCAGCAAAACAAATATAGAATTTACTGAAGTAGTTTGTACCATCTGACATTTGATTAGTATCCATTTTCACAGTGGAACCAGGGTTTGATCTTCTTATTTCCTCACCATAGGACCACAGTCTTGCATAGTGTTCCTTAATATCACCTTCAATTATGCTCAAAGCATATTTCTTTGCCCTCCTGCATTGCCCAACACTAACATCTATTCCAAATTTTGTCATAACCTCAAGTCTAAGTTGTTTATGACTCAGTTTCTGCCTATGCATAATTTTCTTAGTGAAATGACTTCCAATCCAGGCATAAGTTACAATTGACCCCATCTTCAAATTCCTAGCACAATTGTGATCAGGCTTCAATGATTTAATTTGGAAAGATTGTTCATCACCCATCCATGATGCCCAAAGTCTAAATGAGCAAGCTCCATCACAACATAATACTAACAGTCTTTTGGTATCATTTTTCTTGAAGCATAATTGATATCCTCTAGCAACTGCATAGTTACATAACATATGCTTCAACTATTTTGGATTCTCAAATCTCATTCCCAATATTGGTTTTTGTTTTTTCCATGGGATTTCCTTATTAAAGATGTAATGTTCCTCACATTCAGGGTTATTCTCACCTTCCTCATCAAAAGCAATGTCATCAGCTACTTGGTTGTGTTCCTGACCTACTTCATCTTCCCCATCCATGCACAACTTACTCAAAAAAACATCATTCCTCGTTTTGTTCATTTGACATTTCTCACCTAATTCATCCAAGTTCACTGAGAAATTTTCTATGTCTACCTCCTCTTTTCTTTGACCCTAAATAACTGATTCCATCTCATCACCACTAATTACTTCATTTTCACTTGACACAAACCAACCCTCTAATTCGTCACCAAAGTGGTCAGTGAATAATGAAGCTTCACCTCCTCCTATAGCGTATGAAACATGTATGAACTCGACATACTCTGTATCACATTCTATTTTTCTAATACCATTATGAAAGGGTTTGTTTGGGTACAAAAAGTACATTTGTGCACAACGGTCACCCAAGAAACGTTCAAGAAATGTAACACAATCACTAAAATTCATACCAGCAAAGTCGTGGTCTGTAAATAAGAATTTCTTACCTTCAGCATACTAGAATGGACATCGAATAAAATACCCCCCGTAGTTTAGCTCAAGTTTAAGATACCCATTTTCATCATCTGCCATCTTTGAGGAAAAATGAGAGAGAAATCGGTTTGAACGAGGATAAGTGAATTGATGGTTCCGATGGAACCCTAGACTAATGTCTGTAAATAAGAGGGAATCGGTTATGCATGCACACGTGGACATCCTTGTACTCATAAGCAACTGATTAAGCCATTCAAAATGGTCATATTCCCTCTTTTAACCCATCATTTGAAAGTGTAAGGATCCATAAAGCTCAAAAAATAGAATAAAGACCTTTTAAACCCAAAATGAAAAGCACGTGGGTGAACAGTAGCAATAACCCTTTTTTTATACTAAAACCATAAAATTTTGCCAACCCCAACAATCATTTTTGTAATTTTATCTTAAAATTAATTGAATGATAAATTAACATTAGTCTGGGATCCTAGTATATATTTACCCGCATTTTAAGAATTAATATCTAACGAGCTTTTATCACAAAAAAAAAAAAAACACTTTAGTGATGAAAAAAAGCCTCTGCTATACCTTAAACCCCATCGTCCCCTTTACTATACACAATCCCAATCTTCATCTTTCTCTAAGGTGTTGTTTGTTTTTTGTCTGCAAATCTGTGTGGCCTCTTCTATCTGCGCCGCGCGCAGACCACGCGCGGACATTAGCCTTTGCAGACTGTTTGCTTTTTTGAAGACTGCAGACCTAAAAATGTCTGCGCGCCCTCTTCTTGGCGCAGATGTGGACCACATTCTTCTAACATCTTCAGACATCTTCTAGCCTAAAAAACACATATATATTTATTTTTTTAAAGTTTTTTTTTTAAATTTATATTTTTTCCAACTTTATTAATGATAATCAATTTGAAAAAAATACAATACTTAAAAAAAAACGTTTGACGAAACAAAAATGATATTATTGACAAATTTATAAATAAATATTTATTACAATAAAGATTTTTAATAGATTTAACTGAAAAAATCGAATTTTATTTCCATCCATTTATGTATCAAATTCTTTGATCCCTAATTATAATGTTTAGTTATAACTTTGCAACCAAAGTTGTTGGTTTTATCAAATATATACGTTAATTCATACCATTTTTATTTTTATTTTTTATACAATAATACATAAAAGTTGATCTAGATTTGTTAATTATTTATAACAAAGTCATAAATATATTAAAAAATCACTTTGAAGTTTAAAAAAAATCAGTTTATTTAGATTTCAGTTTATTTTAGTAGCCCGCAGATGTTAAAAAAACAAACAGTCTTCTTTTTTCAGACTGCAGACGTTCGGTCCACCTCTTCTACTACAGAGGTCTACAGATGTGGTCCGCAGACTGCAGACATTTTGTCTCAGAAAAAACAAACATCACCTAAACCTCTGTTAGAAAATCGAATATGGCAG